AACCGCCACTTCCACTTTCCCGAAGTAATAGCTCGCCACCTGTTCGTACTTTTGTCCCGCAAGGATTAACAGCAGCAGGAGGATACGGTGCTTGTTGATTGCTGTTGATGAATCCATTTTTGAATTTGATGAGTTTGCTGTTTGATAATTTGATATGTTTATTTGTAATTAAACCACATGCGAGTCGAGTAATAAAACGGTGGTTTTAAATTTGCATTATGTCGATTTAATTTAACTCAAATTAATTAATGTCATGATTAACCGTTAGATGAGCTTTTGTCAGGCAAGATTTAGATGCATAGTTATTAAAATTACATCAGTTATTAAGCGGGTCTGGATTTATTTATTTATCAGTCGAATAAATTAAAAAATTTATAATTTCCAAACTTGAAAATAAATTTATTTAAATTATATGAATTACATTGATAAATATTAAAAATAAAAAATACATTAAATATTTAAATTATATAGTATTGAAAATCAAGATAATTGAAATAAAATAACCAATTAATAGTTAACATATACTTAAAATTAAAAAAACAAAAAATATATGTTTTATCTATATAATAGGGATGTGTTGTTATATACCATATCCAATATAGTGCATTATGTGTATGGTTAAGAAGTTTTGTTATTCCATATATTTCTTTTAACACATCTCGATAAACAACCCCTATGTAGTAGGAGTGTGTTACTATGCAACATATCAATAGGACACACCCAATATAATTATTTGAAACTTTAAGAACAAAAAATTCCTATATTTTACAAATAAACTTATTTTCCAGTAACTTTATCAATTTTGATTAATTGTAATGTATTAATTATAGTGCAAGATTATATTTATTTTGTATTACTATTGTAACACCCAGCTAGCCTAATGTCTTATTCGGCCCAATCCAAAAGACCCAAGCCCATAGCCTAGCCCCACTCTTCCCACCGGTAACGTATGGTCCTAAGTGGACGGTGAGGATTGGAATGACAGGAGGATGAAGGGCTAAGATTGGATGGGAAGGGACATATATAAAAATAAGGATGGGTTGAGTAAAAAAAAAAAAAAACAGAAAAAGAGGGAAAAGAGAGAGAGGTCGATCGACAGGGAAGGAGGGAGAGTGAAGAAATTGAAGGAGAGATCGAGAGCGAAAGTAGAAGAAGCGTGTGAGTGAAGAAGATCTTACCGAGCTAGGAGAAGATGGAGACTGAAGGTAAATAAATTCTGAATTTCAGACTTTGTATGGCGATATGGTGTGAATTTCTATCTGGTTGATTGCCGATTTCGAAGGAGTAGAGAGGCGGAGAATGGTGGATATAATGTTTATAAGGGCGGAGGGAGGAAAGGTGAGGCGGATGACAGGAATGTGAAAACACAGGGTAGGGGATAGAGATTGTTTAGTTGTAAAAATGAAAGGAGGAGGTCAACCGTAGAGAAAGAGTATGGTAAATAGTGTGATTAGGTTCTTTCGGTGAAGGAGGAGCTGAGGTATAATGTGTGTGAAGTAGAGGCGGTAGGCGGAAGAGTGAGTCTATGTGAAACCGGGAACGGTGATGTGCGTTGTTGTTTCGAAGCC